CGGCTGCCAGCGCCTGTGCGGGGCAGAGGAGCCGCCGCCGGGGCAGGGGCCGCGGACGTCGGGGCAGGGCAGGCCTCGGGGGTTCCTGCTCTGCTGTGGCGATGTGAGGCATCGCCCAGCCCGCGGTGTGATCTGGGGATGGCTTCGTGTGGTGGTGTGCAGGGCTGTGCTTCTTCCCTAGGGCGGCCTGAGGCAGTGCCTGTCCGAGTTCAGGCAGCAGCTGGCTTGGATAGAAAGGCTGGATGTGACTTTGGGCCAGGTCGCGGACCCCGTCTCACAGAGTGCTTCCAACAAAGATGCTGTTGACCCTGAGAATGATTTCCAGAGAGAGATGAGCTTGTAAGTGTCAAATCGGAGATTTCTTGTAGGGTCTCAGCGCACTGCTGTGTGCCTGGAGTCACGCAGATGTGCTGCAGACTGCCACACTGGCTGTCACCGGTGTCGTGCCATTCCTGGGCCATGTATTTTATGTTTGCTGTTAAATAATGTTTTCAAAATAACTACAAGTTAATTCTAGTGTATTTAACTTGTGATGGGAAATAATTTCCTGCCTCACAGCAGACTTCTATACTTTGCTCAAAAATTTATTTAAAAAGTTCCTTGGTTGCAGCACTGTGACTTTAACACAGGATTTGGATTTTTCTTTATGGATTTATTTTGGTGCTTTTACAGTTCTTTTGTTTTGCTTTGCCTTTTATTATCCAACATATAAAATTGTAACTGGAAACTAGATAATGATGTATGTGCAAGATTAAGCATTAATATTGTACTGGCACCTAAATGGCTTTTAGTAGCACCGAATGCTGTAGGGCACAGAATTGTGTCATCTATTGATCAGCACTTCTTAGATCCCAGTGTCAGGTAGCTCATGTGAGCAGAGTTCTGTCAGTGCCCAATACCCAGTGACAGAGCTGGTGCTGTGCTGTCTCCCTAGTTACCGGCAGGCTCAGGCAGCGGTCCTGGAAGCCCTGCCGAGGTTGCGGAAGCTCCAAGTTCCTACAAGGAGGCCAGATGATTACTTTGCAGAGATGGCCAAATCAGACCAGCAGATGCAGAAGGTATGTGCAGTGAACAATGGCTTCCATTCCTGTGTTATGTGTTTAGCCCATGTTAGGGATTAACTCTGAGGTGTGACTACTTACCTTCATCTCTTTGACAAATGCCTGTGACAATGTTTGTGTTTGAAATTCTGTTTGTGGAAGGAAATGTCTTCCTGTTTAGGTATTTCAGTGCAATGTGGGGATTTCTGTAACAGGTTGGAACATAAAGTAGAAGAGCATGATTTATATTCTGTCTTGAATGTATTTAATATTAAAAATGGAGACTTCTTCTCCACATGTGTGACAGAGGTTGTAAAGTTGGCTGTGTTTATGCTCTTTGTTCTAAGACTCGCAGTCAACTGTGTGATCTTTTTTCACTATTTGAGTATCACTCTTTGTTCATACTCAATGTGTTTTGTTGTTACGAAATGTTATGCCTTATAATGTTATAATGTTATGTCTTATAAAGCCCGTTATCTAATTGGGAGATATTTTCTTTCATTGATAGTTCACATAATTATTGATGTCAGGACTGCACAACAGTCATAAAATTTTCATATTTCCTTTTGTGTTACTGATAAATTTTGTTTGTTCTATCCCCTAAAAAGATTCGACAGAAGCTTAAGAGTAAACAGGAAGCAATGGAGAGGTCTGAGAAGGCGAAACAGCTCCGTGCAATGAGAAAATATGGCAAGAAGGTGAGGAGGAGCTACAAGAGGGATCTGTCTGTGAGAAGAATCTGGGAGCCTGAGTGAGGAGCTTAGAAAGTGAGACCACAGAAGGCTGGCTAAAATACCTGGAATCTGTCTCGTCTTTTGTCCAGCTGCTTTGAAGAAAGACAAAACAAAAGATAGGATAGATTTGGGGTTTTTGTTTGGTTTTGGTTTGAAGTAAGAGACACTACAGGGAACACCACTAACGTTCTGCTTCTAATCCCAGGTGCAAACTGAGATTCTGCAGAGGAGACAAAAAGAGAAAAAAAATATGTTGAATGCAGTCAAGAAATACCAGAAAGGTAAAGTTAAATTGTCTAGTAAAGCAAATATGTAATGGAAATAGTGATGTGTGAGCAGTGTGTGGCAGTGTGAAGTGTGGTGTCAGTCCATAGTGCTGGCCAGTGCACTTGAAAGGCTGCTGCTTTGCAGAATCTTCTACCAGGGGCAGTGAAAATCCTCCCAAGTAGCTGCTCTTGTTGCTTTTCCTTTCTTAGACTGAAAATTCGTATTTTCTCTGGTGGTAGCTGAGCAAATGTTATGTCTTTGCTCTTGCAGGTCTCTCTGACAAGCTGGATTTTCTAGATGAAGATCAGACATCGTCTCAGGGGAATAAAAAAGGCAATGCAAATCAACGGATAAAGAAGGGGTGAGACCAGAGAAGAAAAATACATTGTTTTGATTTTTCAGTCCGTTAGGGGATCATTTTGTGGAATGAGAAAGCTATTCTGAGTAATGTGAATTGAAATAAGGCTGAGGTGGCTTTCTATCCCTAGAGAGGAGTAAATGCCAGAATGGAGCAGAGACTGAAATGTGCTAATTCCTGCCTCCTCAGTAAGAGGAGAAGGGTTTACGATGGCTGATGTGAGTCCATCACAGATACATCTGCCGCCTTGAGAACTTCCTGAGGAAATAAATATAGGCAATGATGCTATTTGGTTGTTTTCAGGCCAAATGCCAAAAGACGATACAAGAATCAGAAGTTTGGTTTTGGTGGGAAGAAGAAGGGCTCAAAGTGGAACACAAAGGAGAGTTTTAATGATGTATCCAGCTTCCGGTCGAAAGTGGCACACAACAAAGGCCCAGGAAAAGGAGGAAAAAAAGCCCTCAATGTAAGTCAGATGTTGCATGTAAATGATCCTGTTTGGCTGGGAAGCCAGCCCTCATCTGGGAGGGAGAGCTGGTGGGTGCCCCCAGCATCTGGAAGTGATAATGCTTGTTTTTGGGTGGTGAGCATAATTCAGTTGCAGACAGAGATGAGGACAGCGGTTTGGTATCTGAGCAGGGAAATAAGAAGCTAGCAGGTAGTGTTTGTTGCTACCTGTGTCCCAAAACCTCCCTCCTCAGAGGTACTGACAGATATCCTCTCCTTGGTATCCTCCCCAAGCTGGAGAGCTAGAATAGAGATAGAGAATGTGAAAAGAAAGATCTGAATCTGTTCTTTCTTTTTGCAGAAGAGACCTGGAAAGAGAGCAAGGCAGAAAATGAAGAGCCGAGCACGCTAAGAGGACTTTGCTCCCCAGTGGGGTTCCTGTGTTTCTGTGTGTTGCAAGATGTGTTTCTACTGGCATCAAGCAGCTGACTGTGGAGCAGATTTCCAAGTGGCAAGAAAAAAAGCCAGTGGAAACTAGTGCCTTAGACAGTAAGAAGAAATTCGTGATGTTTTGTTGAAGGACTGTTTTCTACTTAAACCTTTGGGGTGTGAACACATTAAATAGTTTGCACAAAACTGTCTAATTCATGTTGCGTTATGAATGGTGGCTGACACCTGCCCTTTGTTCCCTTCAGTCTGACACCTTTTTCCCCAGCTACTGTTGACATGTACTTGGTGAACTCGAGTTCTGGGTCATGTTGCCAACGTCAGAATAAGAAGTCTGAAACCTGTTGATGTGTTAAAGTGTTCTGTAGACTATTTGTATAGATGGGTGTGGAAACAGCAGTGAGACAGATGCAGCAATCTTTTAAGTAGGTTTATTTCTGTAACTATTGTCAGGCTGCAGCTCTGGACAGACTGAGGTTCTCTCTTCCCTTTTCTTTCTGTCTTCTCTTGCCAGAGATCTGCCAGACTCACCTAATAACAAGTAGGTCCTAACATATTAGATGTCATTAACTGTTTCTATCTAAATTGTGTGGCTTTGCCACTCTACTATTGGAGGTTCTCAGACTGCTCCTCTCCTTGCTCCATGGCAGCTGTTTATTTAGTGACATCGGTTTTCCGGCGTGGGAAGTAGAGTCTGCGGTCAGAACGGTCTGTGTGAATCTGGGAAACAAAAATTAATAGGCATGTAATTTCACTGGAATCAGTAGTGTAGTCCCTCCTAAGACTAGTGATGCACAGTGCTCTTGCTGCTGAGAAGTGCCCAAATGACCAACAAGTAGGGTAGCACCTACTTAAGAATATCCTGTACTGTAGAACCTGGTGAAAAAGGAAAACTTAACATATGTGACAGTATCGTGAGTTCTGACTGCAAATTTAACTCGCTTCCCTAACTCTTTTCTGCCAGCCTAATCCTACCAGCAGTATCTAACAGCATAAAGCCCTGCTGGGATGTGTGTCTCTAGCCTTGTCATGAGTAACTAGTTTACCTGAAGTGTAACAGGAAAAGTTGCAGAAGACTTCTTCTCTTATTTATCTTAGTTTTCTTTGTAACAGGCCAAAATTAATCAGACCCTCATTTGCCTTTCTCAAAACACTAATCTACAAAGTCAGTCATTGTCACAGCTATTAGTTTGTCAGATATGATTGATGTCTCAGCTTGATAATAAGATTTCTTTTCCTCCTGTTCATGCTTCCTCAGATGAATCCTCATTGGTGTACTCCGCCTCGGGTGTACTTAGCTGATTATTAATTTTATGGTTGTGCTTGCAATGTGTTTGAAAGATACTATACAGCAGCACATTTCTCTTCACAGTACTTGTGTATGTCACTTCACATTGCTCACTGCCATTTCTCGTGGCTGAATGTTTTAATAAACAGCCATGGCTGCATATTTAGCATTTGGCAATATGCTTGGGGTCGACTGCCATTGTAGACGTTTTGCATTCCTGTTTTCCATGTTTGTCACAAATTATTTTCTTATATTAATAGATCTTTTAGTGCAATGGGCTGAACCTCTCCGAATCCTGTAAAGAGCTGAGCTTAAGGACACTACTCACCAAAGGTGTTGTGTTCCAGCCAATTTCTTGGCTTTCAGTTTGCGGCTCTGAATATTTCTTTCTTGGCTCCAGTGCTGCGTGGTGAATAAGATTCAGAAACTTGGCTGTTTGTTTAAGAGACACAAATACACATGAAAGAAAGTGTATTTTAAAAAGTGAACTGTGGATGTGTGTTAGAACGGGACATCCTAACACTGTCCAAGCAATAGCAATCAAGTCAAGGTTGGAGGCAACCTCTGTACAACTGTAAATGATGTTGTAAGAGAATGCAGGGTGACATTTCTACACAAATTTATCCTGACGAAGTTTCAAGATTTGCCTGCCTGTTGATTGCTGTTAATTCTGTCATCTCTGTCTATTGTAATGCAGCATCTTACCTTTCTTATTCCACATCTGGTACCAACCAGCGCTCCGTGGTAGCCATCGTTTTTCTCAGTTGCCTGAGATTTGCTGCCTTTCCCTGTGTGTGTTTTGGGTTTTGGTTTGGTTTGGTTTTTTCCTTCCTTACCCCCATTCCTTGACTAGAGAGGCCAACCTTAACTGAGCATTAAGGTTTTTAGACAAAATTGGCAAGTTAGAAATAAGGGAGCAGTTGCCATAAGGGTTCCTGTTAGTAGTGCTCTAAAGCAAGACTCAGCAGCTGTTTCAGCAGTTTACCATATACAGTGATTAAGTAGAATCTGCAATGACAGGCAACATGTATGTATAAAACGTGTTTCTACATTTTTTTCCCCATGAAAAAGCTTTATATTCTCAAGCAGAATTTTACAGTGTGATAAATAAAAACATAATTGCATGAATACAAGCTTATACTGATAATGGAAAGTAATGGAAGTCCTTAAAGTGGAAGAAAACCCCTGCCTTATGTTTAACAAAGATCTTGAATGAGTTTAACTTTCTTATCTTGTCATGTTTCCACATATGTCGTCCTTTAGACTAATTGGAATTCTAAAATCTTTTTAGCTATTTTCTTGTGTAACTATCACAAGCTGTTCAGAGATTTCTTACCATCTGCTGGCTCTGCTATATTATCATGCCAAGACATAAGCTTCTTGGTGATCATCTGAACTGGAAAGAAAGGATGCAGGTGAATTACTTGAATGTGAATTTAGCATCACAGTCAGGGATAGGATATCTATCATAGCGAATGCTCTTTCTGATTTTTCCCCAGTCTCAGCCTGGCTACTTCACTGAAGTTGTAAAGGAAAAGCAGTGTGTGAACAGAACAAAAGGAGTTAGAGTACTGACTAATAGCAACTTTCTAGAAAGGGAAGGAGGCTAAGGCCCTTTCTACTGGATGCTGCCTGCATCATCACAGCAAAGTTCCACTCCACCCAAGTGGCAGCCTGCAGAGTGCTAAGTTTCAGGAAATTATTTTCCTTTGGTTTGTTTTTCACAGAATCACAGAATCGCTCGGTCCCTTTGGTTTGTTTTTCACAGAATCGCTCGGTTGGAAAAGCCCTCTGAGATCATCACATCCAACCGCTCCTGTCTACCCACTAAACCATATCCCTAAGTACCTCGTCTACCCGCTCTTTAAACACATCCAGGGCTGGAGACTCCACCACCTCCCTGGGCAGCCTGTGCCAGCTTCTGACGACCCTCTCAGTAAAGAACTTCCTCCTTATCTCTAACCTGAACCTCCCTTGGCCTCCCTTGAACCTTTTTATTTTACTGTAAAAGCTAGGCCTGAGTGACTCTATTCAGATCACCCGTCTGTGCCAGCACAGATCATGATATTCTGTGAACTGGCAGGTAGAAATCAGCCCAGGGGCTGAAGAAACATTGCGTAGTGTTGGGGCTCTCTGCCCCATCTTAGCGCTGTTTGCTCAAGATCGGTGGGTTTCAGATCCTAAACAGTTTCCTCACTTTCACATGTTTACTTTGGCATGGTCTAGGCTGGGCAAATTTGTCATGTCTCCGTTGTGTCTTTGAGTGTCCAGGCTGGTTCCTTGGGCAAAACGGAAGCCTGCCAGTTGCTCCTTCCAGATCTACCCCTCTGTCCTGGTTTTGCTGGGACTGAACAGTAGAATCTCTTTTAATGCTCCAGCCAGAGCTGGATTTTTGAGAAAGCAGTGTTTGAGCTTGAATGAACACAAGTTAATATTGGAGCTTTTCTTCTCTCTGCTCAAGCGAAAGGGGTGGGGAAGTGAGAGCCTGGGACTCTCTGGGACAGGTGACCCAGGATGGATGATCCAGGTATGATCCAAGCCAACCAATAAAGATGTTTTCTATCCCATGAACATCACACTCACTATAAATTGGGGAGCTTGCAGGGGATGACCCCTTCAGCCCTTCCTCCTTTTTTGGCCCCTTCAATCCCTTCCCTTCCTGATGGCAGCCCATCTCGGTTCCTGAGGCTTACCCCTCCCTTGTCGTGTTTTGTTAGCATATGGCCAGTGGCCATGTCTGTGAGCCGAGTATAACTCTGATTGCTATAGTATCCTTGTTCCTATTCTTGTTACAGTTCATTGTCATCATCATTATTTAAGTTTGGGTTGTTTTAGTTATTAGTCTTTTTCTCAACTGACGAGGTCTTTTAATCTCCCGATTCTCTCCTCCATCCCACCGGGAAGAAGGAGGGCGAGCGAGTGCACTTTGAGGTGTTTTAGCTGCTTGCCGGGTTCAATCACGACACCCTCTCCCTGTCCATTGCTGGCATCCTCGGGTGCTGCGGGGCCCGCCCCTGCTCGATGCCGGCAGCCCCAGATTAGTCTTTTTCTCAACTGACGAGGTCTTTTAATCTCCCGATTCTCTCCTCCATCCCACCGGGAAGAAGGAGGGCGAGCGAGTGCACTTTGAGGTGTTTTAGCTGCTTGCCGGGTTCAATCACGACACCCTCTCCCTGTCCATTGCTGGCATCCTCGGGTGCTGCGGGGCCCGCCCCTGCTCGATGCCGGCAGCCCCAGAGCCAACTGGTTCTGCTGCACCGCGTCCGGCGGCTCCCTCTTCCCGCCGGGGGCGGCCATGGCTCCGTCGCGTCCCGTAGCCTGGCAATGCCTCACGTGATTCACTACGCGGCTGCT